GAAACGTGCGGCGGGGGCTGCTTCGTTAAAAGTCACTTCCTGTTGCCAGCAGGTGGCGCTATGACTGTCTGTGAATGTGAGCATGTACATGTGTTCAGGGCGGGACTCTCATCCTACATGTACAGTTTGGTCCAGATGTGAGCATGTACACTGAAGTTACGACAACTTCCGTGTCATGGCGAAGAGCTGATCTTTGACGCCACGCCACGGACACGCCCATTGACGAAAACTTGCAAATAGCACAACTTTTCATCTTCAATGCCTTTAGAAGGCACAGCACAAATTTGAGGTCGGTCGGACTAAATCCCTAGGAGGAGTTCGTTAAAGTACGAAGTGTGTAAATCATCCAAAATTTGACGTAAAATTCAAAATGGCCGACTTCCTCTTGATTTTAGGCTATGGCTCCAAGAGGCTTTTTTGTGCGTCTGGACAAGATACACGTACCACAGAAAATTCGTGCACGTAGGTGAAACGTGCGGCGGGGGCTGCTTCGTTAAAGTCACTTCTGTTGCCAGCAGGTGGCGCTATGACTGTGGGTGAATGTCGGCATGTACATGTGTTCAGGGCGGGACTCTCATCCTACATGTACAGTTTGGTCCAGATGTGAGCATGTACACTGAAGTTACGACAACTTCCGTGTCATGGCGAAGAGCTGATCTTTGACGCCACGCCACGGACACGCCCATTGACGAAAACTTGCAAATAGCACAACTTTTCATCTTCAATGCCTTTAGAAGGCACAGCACAAATTTGAGGTCGGTCGGACTAAATCCCTAGGAGGAGTTCGTTAAAGTACGAAGTGTGTAAATCATCCAAAATTTGACGTAAAATTCAAAATGGCCGACTTCCTGTTGATTTAGGCTATGGCTCCAAGAGGCTTTTTTGTGCGTCTGGACAAGATACACGTACCACAGAAAATTCGTGCACGTAGGTGAAACGTGCGGCGGGGGCTGCTTCGTTAAAGGTCACTTTCTGTTGCCAGCAGGTGGCGCTATGACTGTGGGTGAATGTCGGCATGTACATGTGTTCAGGGCGGGACTCTCATCCTACATGTACAGTTTGGTCCAGATGTGAGCATGTACACTGAAGTTACAACAACTTCCTGTTTCATTGCGAATCATCGACGCCACGGACACGCCCATTGACGAAAACGCGCAAATAGCACAACTTTTCATCGTCAATGCCTTTAGAAGGCACAGCAGAAATTTGACGTCGATCCGACTAAATCCCTAGGAGGAGTTCGTTAAAGTACGAAGTGTGTAAATCATCCAAAAATGGCCATAAAATTCAAAATGGCCGACTTCCTGTTGACTTTAGGCTATGGGTTCTTGAGGCTTTTTTGTGCGTCTTGATACGATACATGTCCCCAGAAAATTTCGTACATGTAGGTTGAACGTGAACGAGGGGCTAATCATTTCCAATTTTCAAGGTGGCGCTAGCGAGTCATTTTGCCACGCCCATGTGCGAAACTTGTAGAATACGAAATTTTTCACCGGTTCTGACATGTTTGCAAATTTTGGTGAGTTTTCGAGTATGTTTAGGCCATGTCATTTGGGCCTACTTTGCAGAAAAAAAAAAAAAAAATATATATATAATCCGAGCAGATTCAATAGGGACCTCGCACGGTCGTGCTCGGGCCCTAATTAAAGCTGCAAGCAGCGTTGGACGGGCCCTCGCACTTGTAAGCGCGTCCGGGTGTGAGCCGGCCGAGTTGCACATTCTGGAGCTCTGCCGGTGCGGCTGTGAATTTGCTATGCGGTTCCGACGCCGCATGAAGGTGCTATATGTCACTTCCTGTGTCCCCTACGTGGAGCTACATAGCACTTGCCGCTATGAATATAAATCGGTATTGACGTGTAGATGTCTGCGGGGTGGGAGAGTTATCAAGCACATAAAGTTTGTTTCAGATGTGAGCATGTACACTGAACAATAAAATAAATTCCTTTTATATTTCCCTGCCTTGTTGTTTATGTGTACATACAGAGGAAGAATGTGAGAACAGCACACATTTCATCGTTACTGTGTGTTAGAGCATGGGAGAACAGTGGATACTTTTAATACAGCCCACACCCCTAATACTGTGTAACTATAACAAGTAGAGAACAGAAGAAAAAGATGTTCTTTCTTTACAACTGTCTGCATAGCTTATTCATATTGTGTAATGAATGAAAATAAATAGGCCTACTAGGCTCCTCTCTACTTTGACATTAAGATTAGCTTGTTTGATCCACCTTCATACACATGTGACATTACTGTACAACTTGAGAAAGGTGAGTCGTTTTCTGCTCCAGCCTGCCTGAAAGAAAAGCGTTTTTGGGATTAAATGGACTTTATTAGCTGCTGCAGTGCAGGATGAACTCAGAATAGAACCATTTCTCACCTTATTATTCTAAATCATGCAACGAAGAAGAAGAAATGCATAATAAATCCTGGGACAAAATCTGTCCACAAATACTGTACAGCATGTAGTCTGATGAACAAGACTTGTGTTATAGCTGACTTGGGCAGTGAAATGTTTAATTTTTTTAATTCATGTGGTCATAGTTGTCCACAACTCAAATCAGAATATAAGAAGAAATGTTTTATACCACCTCAAGAAGGCTTCCTATCAGAAAGTTAGGAAGGTATTTCAAATGTACAACTGCAATCCTGAAATCTAAGTAAAGTAATTTCCCTGACATTTTTGTGTTACTTTACTTTTAATAGATGCATGTAACAGGTTTTATACTTCCTGTGAGTATAATCCAATCAATCTTATTTTCATACTGTATATCCGATGTATAATTTGATAAATTGTGTTGTATGTCGTGCTATACTGCTATGACTGTGGGTGAATGTCAGCATGTACATGTGTTCAGGGCGGGACTCTCATCCTACATGTACACTTTGGTCCAGATGTGAGCATGTACACTGAAGTTACAACAACTTCCTGTGTCATGGCGAAGAGTTGATCTTTGACACCACGCCACGGACACGCCCATTGACGAAAACTTGCAAATAGCACAACTTTTCATCTTCAATGCCTTTAGAAGGCACAGCAGAAATTTGAAGTCGGTCGGCCTAATTCCCTAGGAGGAGTTCGTTAAAGTACGAAGTGTGTAAATCATCCAAAATTTGATGTAAAATTCAAAATGGCCGACTTCCTGTTGGGTTTAGGCTATGGCTCCAAGAGACTTTTTTGTGCGTCTGGACAAGATACACGTACCACAGAAAATTCGTGCACGTAGGTGAAACGTGCGGTGGGGCTGCTTCGTTAAAGGTCACTTCCTGTTGCCAGCAGGTGGCGCTATGACTGTGGGTGAATGTCGGCATGTACATGTGTTCAGGGCGGGACTCTCATCCTACATGTACAGTTTGGTCCAGATGTGAGCATGTACACTGAAGTTACAACAACTTCCTGTTTCATGGCGAATCATCAACGCCACGGACACGCCCATTGACGAAAACTCGCAAATAGCACAACTTTTCATCGTCAATGCCTTTAGAAGGCACAGCAGAAATTTGACGTCGATCCGACTAAATCCCTAGGAGGAGTTCGTTAAAGTACGAAGTGTGTAAATCATCCAAAAATGGCCGTAAAATTCAAAATGGCCGACTTCCTGTTGATTTTAGGGCATCGCTCCAAGAGGCTTTTTTGTGCGTCTGGACAAGATACACGTACCACAGAAAATTCGTGCACGTAGGTAAAACGTGCGGCGGGGGCTGCTTCGTTAAAAGTCACTTCCTGTTGCCAGCAGGTGGCGCTATGACTGTGGGTGAATATCAGCATGTACATGTGTTCAGGGCGGGACTCTCATCCTACATGTACAGTTTGGTCCAGATGTGAGCATGTACACTGAAGCTACGACAACTTCCGTGTCATGGCGAAGAGTTGATCTTTGACGCCACGCCACGGACACGCCCATTGACGAAAACTTGCAAATAGCACAACTTTCATCTTCAATGCCTTTAGAAGGCACAGCACAAATTTGAGGTCGGTCGGACTAAATCCCTAGGAGGAGTTCGTTAAAGTACGAAGTGTGTAAATCATCCAAAATTTGACGTAAAATTCAAAATGGCCGACTTCGTGTTGGGTTTAGGCTATGGCTCCAAGAGACTTTTTTGTGCGTCTGGACAAGATACACGTACCACAGAAAATTCGTGCACGTAGGTGAAACGTGCGGCGGGGGCTGCTTCGTTAAAGGTCACTTTCTATTGCCAGCAGGTGGCGCTATGACTGTCTGTGAATGTCAGCATGTACATGTGTTCAGGGCGGGACTCTCATCCTACATGTACAGTTTGGTCCAGATGTGAGCATGTACACTGAAGTTACAACAACTTCCTGTTTCATTGCGAATCATCGACGCCACGGACACGCCCTTTAGAAGGCACAGCAGAAATTTGACGTCGATCCGACTAAATCCCTAGGAGGAGTTCGTTAAAGTACGAAGTGTGTAAATCATCCAAAAATGGCCGTAAAATTCAAAATGGCCGACTTCCTGTTGACTTTAGGCTATGGGTTCTTGAGGCTTTTTTGTGCGTCTTGATACGATACATGTCCCCAGAAAATTTCGTACATGTAGGTTGAACATGAACGAGGGGCTAATCATTTCCAATTTTCTAGGTGGCGCTAGCGAGTCATTTTGCCACGCCCATGTGCGAAACTTGTAGAATACGAAATTTTTCACCGGTTCTGAAATGTTTGCAAATTTTGGTGAGTTTTCGAGTATGTTTAGGCCATGTCATTTGGGCCTACTTTGCAGAAAAAAAATAAATAAATAAATAAATAAATATAATCCGAGCAAATTCAATAGGGACCTCGCACGGTCGTGCTCGGGCCCTAATAAGAGTGTTACATTTATGGGGGAAACAAATCCCAAATCTAAGGATTTGAATATTCTTCGACATTATAGTTATAAATTTTATAAAAATCTAAATGTGTTTTTTGTCAAGGAACCACTTCACTTTGCTAGGTTAGATGATATGATGTGGTGTGATATAATGTTTATTGTGCACTACAGCAACAGCAGGAACAACGGCACCTGCTACTTCAACAAAGACACCTGCTCCAACAACAAAAACAACTGCAGCAACAACAGTGTCAAAAACCACGACACCTGCTCCAACAACTGCAAAAACAACACGTGCTCCGACAACAATTGCAAAAACAACAACCCGTGCTCCGACAACAATTGCAAAAACAACAACCCGTGCTCCAACAACTGCAAAAAAAACAACCCGTGCTCCGACAACAACTACAAAAAAAACAACACGTGCTCCGACAACAACTACAAAAAAAACAACACGTGCTCCGACAACTGCAAAAACAACAACGCGTGCTCCGACAACTACAAAAACAACAACGCGTGCTCCAACAACTGCAAAAACAACAACGCGTGCTCCGACAACTGCAAAAACAACAACGCGTGCTCCGACAACTGAGTCAACAACGACACCTGCTCCAACAACTGAGTCAACAACGACACCTGCCCCGACAACAACAACTGAGGTAACCACGACACCTGCCCCGACAACAACTGAGGCAACCACGACACCTGCCCCGACAACAACTACTGAGGCAACCACGACACCTGCCCCGACAACAACTACTGAGGCAACCACGACACCTGCCCCGACAACAACTACTGAGGCAACCACGACACCTGCCCCGACAACAACAACTGAGGCAACCACGACACCTGCCCCGACAACAACAACTGAGGCAACCACGACACCTGCCCCGACAACAACAACTGAGGCAACAACGACACCTGCCCCGACAACAACAACTGAGGCAACAACGACACCTGCCCCGACAACAACTACTGAGGCAACCACGACACCTGCCCCGACAACAACAACTGAGGCAACCACGACACCTGCCCCGACAACAACAACTGAGGCAACAACGACACCTGCCCCGACAACAACAACTGAGGCAACCACGACACCTGCCACGACAACAACAACTGAGGCAACAACGACACCTGCCCCGACAACAACAACTGAGGCAACCACGACACCTGCCCCGACAACAACAACTGAGGCAACCACGACACCTGCCCCGACAACAACAACTGAGGCAACAACGACACCTGCCCCGACAACAACAACTGAGGCAACCACGACAGCTGCCCCGACAACAACTACTGAGGCAACCACGACACCTGCCCCGACAACAACAACTGAGGCAACCACGACACCTGCCCCGACAACAACTACTGAGGCAACCACGACACCTGCCCCGACAACAACAACTGAGGCAAAAACACCTGCCCCGACAACAACAACTGAGGCAACCACGACACCTGCCCCGACAACAACAACTGAGGCAACAACGACACCTGCCCCGACAACAACAACTGAGGCAACCACGACACCTGCCCCGACAACAACTACTGAGGCAACCACGACACCTGCCCCGACAACAACTACTGAGGCAACCACGACACCTGCCCCGACAACAACAACTGAGGCAACCACGACACCTGCCCCGACAACAACAACTGAGGCAACCACGACACCTGCCCCGACAACAACAACTGAGGCAACAACGACACCTGCCCCGACAACAACAACTGAGGCAACCACGACACCTGCCCCGACAACAACTACTGAGGCAACCACGACACCTGCCCCGACAACAACAACTGAGGCAACCACGACACCTGCCCCGACAACAACTACTGAGGCAACCACGACACCTGCCCCGACAACAACAACTGAGGCAAAAACACCTGCCCCGACAACAACAACTGAGGCAACCACGACACCTGCCCCGACAACAACAACTGAGGCAACAACGACACCTGCCCCGACAACAACTACTGAGGCAACCACGACACCTGCCCCGACAACAACTACTGAGGCAACCACGACACCTGCCCCGACAACAACTACTGAGGCAACCACGACACCTGCCCCGACAACAACTACTGAGGCAACCACGACACCTGCCCCGACAACAACAACTGAGGCAACCACGACACCTGCCCCGACAACAACTACTGAGGCAACCACGACACCTGCCCCGACAACAACTACTGAGACAACAACGACACCTGCCCCGACAACAACTACTGAGGCAACCACGACACCTGCCCCGACAACAACTACTGAGACAACAACGACACCTGCCCCGACAACAACAACTGAGGCAACCACGACACCTGCCCCGACAACAACTACTGAGGCAACAACGACACCTGCCCCGACAACAACAACTGAGGCAACCACGACACCTGCCCCGACAACAACTACTGAGGCAACCACGACACCTGCCCCGACAACAACTACTGAGGCAACCACGACACCTGCCCCGACATCAACAACTGAGGCAACAACACCTGCCCCGACAACAACTACTGAGGCAACCACGACACCTGCCCCGACAACAACAACTGAGGCAACCACGACACCTGCCCCGACAACAACTACTGAGGCAACCACGACACCTGCCCCGACAACAACAACTGAGGCAACCACGACACCTGCCCCGACAACAACTACTGAGGCAACCACGACACCTGCCCCGACAACAACAACTGAGGCAACAACGACACCTGCCCCGACAACAACTACTGAGGCAACCACGACACCTGCCCCGACAACAACAACTGAGGCAACAACGACACCTGCCCCGACAACAACAACTGAGGCAACAACGACACCTGCCCCGACAACAACAACTGAGGCAACAACGACACCTGTCCCGACAACAACAACTGAGGCAACCACGACACCTGCTCCGACAACAACTACTGAGGCAACCACGACACCTGCCCCGACAACAACTACTGAGGCAACCACGACACCTGCCCCAACAACAACAACTGAGGCAACCACGACACCTGCCCCGACAACAACTACTGAGGCAACCACGACACCTGCCCCGACAACAACAACTGAGGCAACAACGACACCTGCAACCACGACACCTGCCCCGACAACAACAACTGAGGCAACCACGACACCTGCCCCGACAACAACTGAGGCAACCACGACACCTGCCCCGACAACAACAACTGAGGCAACAACGACACCTGTCCCGACAACAACAACTGAGGCAACCACGACACCTGCCCCGACAACAACTACTGAGGCAACAACGACACCTGCCCCGACAACAACAACTGAGGCAACCACGACACCTGCCCCGACAACAACTACTGAGGCAACAACGACACCTGCCCCGACAACAACTACTGAGGCAACCACGACACCTGCCCCGACATCAACAACTGAGGCAACAACACCTGCCCCGACAACAACAACTGAGGCAACAACGACACCTGCAACCACGACACCTGCCCCGACAACAACTACTGAGGCAACCACGACACCTGCCCCGACAACAACAACTGAGGCAACCACGACACCTGCCCCGACAACAACTACTGAGGCAACAACGACACCTGCCCCGACAACAACAACTGAGGCAACCACGACACCTGCCCCGACATCAACAACTGAGGCAACAACACCTGCCCCGACAACGACACCTGCCCCGACAACAACAACTGAGGCAACCACGACACCTGCCCCGACAACAACTACTGAGGCAACCACGACACCTGCCCCGACAACAACAACTGAGGCAACAACGACACCTGCCCCGACAACAACTGAGGCAACCACGACACCTGCCCCGACAACAACAACTGAGGCATCCACGACTCCTGCCCCGACAACAACAACTGAGGCAACAACAACACCTGCTCCAAAAACTGAAGGAACAACCACCACGGTGACGTTCAGATCTGTTCAAAGCACATTTACAAGTGACTTGAACAATCAATCATCTCCAGCATTTAGAGATCGAGTTTCATTGATAAAGTCACAGGTAAGTCAAACCCTTAGAATAAAATCTTCTGGTACAACTACTGAACTTTTTCAACAGAGAGCTCAAGCCCCCATTCAGAGAACTGAAAGGTTATGGTAACACTTTAAAACACAGCTAATACTCCTTTTACTTTATTTTTGTATCTTTCTAGGTTTGTATATTTCTAGGTGTTAATTTTTTCCAAATGTTTGTTTTCCAGTAAGTAACCAGTATTTAAAAAAATAGTATAATTTACTCCATTGTTCCCTATAGTCTTGTTTCTAAGTAAATTGTTTATTGAAACTTGATTCATACAGCAGAATTAGATTAGGGCTTTATTTTAAGTCTTACCACTGTCATCACTAAAACCAAGTTTCAGAAAGTATCAATAACCTTCAAAAATAAGCATTAAGGCATGCTTAACTTCAATACTTGTACAGTATACAATAAAACATACAGTACAAAGAATTGAAACACAGCTAGTGAACGGTCAATTCCCCAAGTAGAAATTCCCCACATAGAAAGGAATCGCATACCAGTTGAAAAAATGTGCACACTGCCCAGAAATACACGTGAAGACTCTTAATGTTACTGCAAAAAATGAATAGATCATCTAATATTTTTTTAATCCTGTGGTGGTTCTCATCATTATTTTTCCTCCTGTCTGTCGGTCTCCTGGACACAGTTGGATTTCTGCACTACAGAAAGTACAGAAAACAAAAGAAAAATAAAATACTGTAAAATAAGGAAATATAATGACAAACTGGAATATTTGCATTTCCTGATCAAAATACAGGTACAGAAGTGCTGCTGCAGAATAATAATAGTAATTGTTACATGAAATAAAGAGCCAAGATAACTAAACTAAACCTCCAGCTCACTGTACAACTTAGGCAAACATATGTGAAACGTGTTTAAGTACAATTTGTTTTCTGTTTCTGCAGCTTGAACCTGTGTTCCACATGGCATTCCCTTCCTCCTTCATGTCCCTGGACGTGTTGTCATTCAGGTAATTTGTTAAGACTTTTAAGAAATTTTAAGAGTAGTGACCAAAATGTGATATTTCAAAATTATTTTGTGTTTCTCCATCTGCAGAAATGGATCAGTCATCAATGACGTGAACCTTCTCTTTGCAAGCACATCTGTTCCTAATAATATTGAGATTGGGAGGGTTTTTATCAATGATAGTTTAAACTTCACTGGCTTCGACATTGAAAGGAGCTCAATCAAAGTGAATGACACCCTATATTCTGATCTACCTGCCCCGACAACAACTACTGAGGCAACCACGACACCTGCCCCGACAACAACTACTGAGGCAACAACACCTGCCCCGACAACAACAACTGAGGCAACCACGACACCTGCCCCGACAACAACAACTGAGGCAACAACGACACCTGCCCCGACAACAACAACTGAGGCAACCACGACACCTGCCCCGACAACAACAACTGAGGCAACCACGACACCTGCCCCGACAACAACTACTGAGACAACAACGACACCTGCCCCGACAACAACTACTGAGGCAACAACGACACCTGCCCCGACAACAACTACTGAGGCAACCACGACACCTGCCCCGACAACAACTACTGAGGCAACCACGACACCTGCCCCGACAACAACAACTGAGGCAACAACGACACCTGCCCCGACAACAACTACTGAGGCAACAACGACACCTGCCCCGACAACAACAACTGAGGCAACAACGACACCTGTCCCGACAACAACAACTGAGGCAACCACGACACCTGCCCCGACAACAACTACTGAGGCAACCACGACACCTGCCCCGACAACAACAACTGAGGCAACCACGACACCTGCCCCGACAACAACTACTGAGGCAACCACGACACCTGCCCCGACAACAACAACTGAGGCAACAACGACACCTGCCCCGACAACAACTACTGAGGCAACCACGACACCTGCCCCGACAACAACAACTGAGGCAACAACGACACCTGCCCCGACAACAACAACTGAGGCAACAACGACACCTGCCCCGACAACAACAACTGAGGCAACAACGACACCTGTCCCGACAACAACAACTGAGGCAACCACGACACCTGCTCCGACAACAACTACTGAGGCAACCACGACACCTGCCCCGACAACAACTACTGAGGCAACCACGACACCTGCCCCGACAACAACAACTGAGGCAACAACGACACCTGCCCCGACAACAACAACTGAGGCAACCACGACACCTGCCCCGACAACAACAACTGAGGCAACAACGACACCTGCCCCGACAACAACTACTGAGGCAACAACGACACCTGCCCCAACAACGACAATTGCTGCACCAAACACGACTTTTACTGTTCAACCTATTTACTACATCTTAATAATTTTGGAAATTTCTTTTTCAATTGACCTCACTAACCCCAACAGCAGTCTATACAAAGATCTTGAGCAACGAGTTGTAGCTACGGTGAGTAATTTCCCAAATTGAGCAAATTACTGACCGTGAGAATGTTACACATGATTACACACAAATGTTTAGCCAAAGGACACATTTGTTAAGCTGGAAATTAATTTCATGTACATTTTCATTTCAGTCCAATTTAATTTGAAAACAATTGTGCTTGAATGCTACTCAAGGGTTTTCAATGTTGCTTTTTCTTGCAGTGTGAGTTCATATACAGACCAAGATTTGTTCAGTTTGACCACTGTACTGTGACAATGTTCAGGTAAAAACATTTGCTTATAGTTCATTGGTGTTTTTTATGCAGAAGTATGGTCTTAAAATAGGTATTGTCTAATGTTGATACTGTTATGTTTACATCACCCATAAAAATGGCAACAGAATCATCGAATATTTTCATTTGACATATGGTTTTATGAAACAGGAGTGTCCAAATTCGAGCCGATGGAACTGAAGCAGAGCTGCAGATTGTGTTCAATCAGAAAACTCGCTCTGCAGAACTCCCACAGAACAGTGTCGTTGCTCAAACCTTAGTAGAGGCTGTGAGTAATACCAACAACAGCTTCAATGTGACCATAAATCCCAAGAAAGTCAAAATAATAGGTAAGTAAACACAACACAATGTATTACTCTAATCAGTATGTAAAACATTTACCTCTTAACATTCCTGTAAAATTCATGCAAAACACCTATTCAAGTCATATCCAAAGTAAATTGAATGTAGTTGTTAAACCATTTGGAGTATATGAATGGTTCTGGGCTTCTTTGAAAGATAACGCTCTGGAGTGTCTAACCCAAAAGTCATGATTGTAAGTGCTACTGGAATTGATTAATATAAGTTTAAACACACTAGAAAATTCTTGCTAATAAATGCATGTAGACAACTATAGCTGGAACTTATTAGCTGGAAAACATTGTAGGGCCTCGGCATAAAGCCTTACCTAGTCCAAGTTTAAATTTCATACCAATACCATGAAGAAATGACTAATTTACACAGGTTTTTCTAAGTGTGTGTCTTAGTGTATTTTTTCTAAAACGGCATCGCTCCTTGGCAGCAGGCGGCTGCTGCTGCATCGCTCCATATCAGCCGGTAGATTGACGTAGATGTGTTTTTATGCTGGTAGATCATGAACTTCCTGTTTAAAGCTCGATATTGTTATTTTCAAAATTTTATTGGCTGCACAAAGTGCCAGTCAACGGCACAATTGCTTGCAATTGGCTCAGCCTACCCACGAAATAATAAGGGCTGGCCCTTCCTTACAGCGTGGGCTCTCGTTGGCTATTGTAGGCTGTGAATGGGACATGTGAGCTGTTATTAGGTCTGATTTGGTATCACTCTAAAGGTCAGAGTTCAGCGGCTAATTTGAATACAAGCTATCGTAGTTGTTAACATTCAAATCTGAGTTATTACGGTTACAATGACATACGAGCCACGTCTGCCGGCAAATATAAAACGATCCGGCCGCAGTCCCTGGGGATTTATTGATGGAATAATGTATTATTATATAAATATTTTTACTGGATTGGATTGTCTGGACCTTTGACAACGTAACAACCGTTTTTGTTGGAATATAATCGACCGGTGGATTACTATGAGGCATATATGAGGTATACACGAGATTCATCAAAAAAACTGTGTTCAGTGTTGGACAGTTTAATCCATCTTTCTGTTCAACACTGTGGCATGACAAGCTTTTTTTAAGCTACCTTGTATTCAGCCAGAATATGTGTAATGTAAATTGTTATTAACTGTAAGATGTTTGACATTAGCAACTTCGAACTAGACAAGAAGCTAAAACGTCAGAGAGTCAACTCTTTCTATGGCCTTTATGATCAGTGAAACTGGCACCAAAGTCATTTTTACAAATATAAACAAATCATTTTTGGTTTGAATTCTTATTAATTTATTCTTTTAAAATATTTTACAGCAGGTCCAGTTCCATCTACAACTACCACATCTACAAATGCTGCACCAATCAACGTGAATGGCACCCGTAAGCTATATTGTGTTCTACTTCTTCAAAAATGTCAAAATGTTGCACAGCTGTTTTTTAAAGTAATGTTTTGTTTACTTTTTACCGAATTTACAGAATCAAGTGGAGTGAGCCACAAGATCAGTCTCGTTACTGCATCCTGCCTGGTATTGTTGTCATGGATACTATCAAGCCAGCAATAGAATCAGTGCTGATTACCATTTGAATTGCCAGCAGACTATGACTGCCATTACTGGTATGAACAAGGACTTTGTTGTCGGTAAAAATCCAAGATTCATGATGGTCTTTGCTCTTGTATGTAGAATGACACAGCCAACTTTAAGCACCTGGCCCATTGAATCATCACTACAATAACAACCTAAACAAAATAACAATACTGTCTGTTAAGCCCTGGGATGTCAGAAATGGTTGCACTCTTTGACTTTTTATATAAAATGTAATGTATAAATGCATCTTGCTTCTCTGAGCACTGTGCTATAGCAATATTTAACTTTCAGTACTAATTCTGTTCTTAGGTCATGTTAAACAAGTAAAATCAGCCACACTGGAAAGTAAAATCACCTTCACCATTGTCTGAATGCATTTTATTTTGAAACGTGCAGATTGAGAAATTCAAATGTGAGATGTCTGTGAAGTTAGTTGTCATCAACACAGGTCATTTTACAAGCAAAGATGATTCAAAATGGTGTTGTTTTACTCTGACCTTCAAATTATCTAAACCTTTCTGTAACTTTCAAAAGCATGTGAAATTCATGTTTAGGTTTCATTTAGTGTACACATTGTATTTATGTAATCACGTATAGCTATATTCTGTGAGACTATTGTGGTTTGTATAATTTCTATCAGAAACTTTACAATGATCAGAATGCAAATTATTTTGTGAATTTAAATTGAGTCTAGTGTGATGTTTTTGATGAGTAAACAGAAAATGTATCAGGGAATGTTTAACCTTGTACAACTCTTATAAAATTGAAACACCTATCATTTTGTGTCTGAAACTTAATTTTAATTAAAATTGCTTCTCACTCACTAGATTGGTACGAGCAGAAGCAGCAAGTGATTGATGGCTTGATGGCAAAACATGATGGAAAAAGTCACAAAACACACTAGAGACTTCACGATAGAGAAGTTTGGCTGAGAGTAACTTTACCACTGAGTAGACGGAGCAAAATAGCGATGAGGGGCAGGAGAGTCTTTGAGCGAGCAGTTGATAAGTAGATTGCAATCAGGGTGGAGATAGATGGCCTTTCAGTTTTTGGACCCTTCCTCTGAACGCCCTCCCTAGCCACATCCAACAAGCTAACTTTATGCCATCTTTGAAACAAGCCCTCAAAACCCACCTTTTCAAGTCTACATTCCCCAGTTAACTTCGTTCCCTTGTCTCCCGTCAATGTTCTTTTCAACTAATTATTTTTATCTTCCCACTGTGAAGTGTCTTTGAGTATTTAGAAAAGTGCTATATAAATGTAATTTATTATTAATATTATTAACTGTCTCAAGCCAGCTCTTAAACTGTGACAAAAAGGAGGTGAGACACAACAGGCACAAGCATGGTAAAGATATGATTTATTGTAAAAGTTAATAATAATAATAATAATCTTTATTTGTAGAGCACTTTTCAAAAACAAGTTACAAAGTGCAAAGTGTAAAGACAATAATACCCAAGAGACAATAAAACAAAAACAATACTAGATAAAAGCATGACAACAATTAAAAGATGTTTAAGATAAATATAAAATTAGTAAAATACAATAAAATAAAAGGGATAAAATATAGTGAAATAAGATCGGGAAAGGCTCTCCTATAAAACTATGTTTTAGGAAGGCACTTAAGAGTTCCCTGAGTGGACCTGATTTCCTTGGGCAGGCTGTTCCAGAGCCTCGGGGCCCTGACAGCAAACGCTCTGTCCCCTTTAGTGTTCAGTCGAGACTCTGGAACAG